GTAGTATTGGCACTGGTTTCTTTTCTTATTTTGTGATAATCATTGTCTTTTTCATTTTCTGTTAACATGCAAAACCCATTTTTCATCACCTGTAACAAATGGGATGCAAAAATGAAACAGTGACATTCTTGGTTAAAAGACTGTTGCAAATCGTAAACATTGTGTTCAGTTCTTAAGCAAAAGCTGATGAGAAACACAAATTCACTTTCTGTAAGTTTTCCCAATTAAACTCCGAAATACATTATAAATGACACACTGCTGGATAGAAGAAATAATAAACTAATTCTAGACATGGTTCCCTACCATTCAACCAAGATTCTGCCCTGGTCGGTTGCCTCATAATTCATAGTGGTGAAATATGCAATTATCTTCTAAACAGCCTAATATATATTTAAGAGAAAGAAAGACAGGGAAAGGAACAGTGTGCGATATAACACACACCATGCAACACACACTTTCATACAAGAGAGTGTTGGAAAGTTCTTGGTCTCAGGCATTAATCAAAATATGATCAAATGACCAAACATCAGATTTTGGGAAGAATCCCTTCTTGACAGGGCTGAGAACATTTCAGCAACCATTGTACAACATGTCCCAAAAATCGCATTATGTACCATTGAAAAACATTGTAAATTTTATATTTACAAAATGTTAATGCCTGTTGAAATCCTTACAGTATTTAGTATTGTTGAAGTTATTGCTAACATTTTTTGTTGCGATTTACAAACTCTAAGTTTTGTTTAATTTCACAAACCAATCAATGAAATTTGAATAATCTGATTGTTTGGAAAAATATTTTGACAAAAAGCCTACTTCATGGTTTAATAGTTTCTTTAATTTTATATGACCTTCATGGGAAACAATATTTTTTAAGAAAATTGCTTTTTTTTTTTCTTTTTTAAGAGAAAAAAATAAATTCTTAGAATTTCTTACTCTTGAGCATTCAACATACAATTCAACATACAATTGGCCATGTGTAAATATTTCTTTCTGGAGCCAAATTCCAACTTTTTGAAGCATTTGGCCTTGTGATATATTTATAGATCTTGCAAATGCAGAGGGAACTGGAAACTGGATTCTTGGATATAATAACTTAGAGATATGCAAAAAGCAATATTGCATTTTTATTAAATAAGTATGTGTAATTTTAATCATTAAATTGTTTTTAAAATGGTGGGAGTATTTTGTATGTTAAATAATAAAACTTAATTTTTCCAAAAAAATTACTGAAAATGTATTGTACTTAGTTATGCATGCTAGTAAAACCAACTGTCCTTTGTATCCCTTTACCTGTTTACACTTTTCCCCCAACTTTGGTTTTGAATGGTCAATGTATAGCTATTTTAGAGGGTGTGACAGACAGATGGAAGTCACAGAATTTTATATGTAGATTTACAAAATGAAATGATATTTCTGGGTGTGATAATATACTAATAGGAATTTTCAATGGTTGAATTATGGAAGATAATGTCATGCAAATTTTCTCTGGTAACTATTTCACAATATTTGCTTCCTGTTGCAGTGTGACTTTTTTGGCCAATCTGTATAGTCATTCCACATGACAACAGAAACACCTATACAGCAAAGTACCGATCAATACAAGTTATAATGAGTATTTAATCATTTGCTGCCTCATTGCTAAAAGATGGTTTGATTAAATAAATTCTTTTCAGTCCATGAAGCAAAGAGGAGCCAGACTGCATGCACTTCAAAGATTTGGGGTTGTTTTTTTTTTTTTACTCATTAAAGATAAGCATTCCTGATCAAATTGGTAAAAAAATAAACAATTTTTTTCAATCAAAATCCTTCAAGATTTCAATAATGATGAATCAGTCAGTTTTTCTATGAATAACTAGTTTTTTTTTTATGAACTGGGGAAAATCATCAAACCTTACACCAAACAAGTGAGTGTTTCATTAAATATCTTAAAAAACATTTTTCTTCAAAAATTGAGAATGTCTTTTAAAGATATGGCAACAGTCTACTGTTACCTATCATTGCATATACAGTCAATGACAAAATTATTTGTACAACCATCAATTTTGAATATTTTTATCCATTTCTCAGAATCTAATCTCTGTATGAATTATGCAAAACAGGAAAAGAGAAAATTATTTTTTCACTTCATCCAAAACAAACTGTATAAAAGTAATACTAATCTTTTTTTTTTCTTTGTGGAATGGCTTAGCTTAATAAATCCAAGTAAAAGAAATTATTTAAGGATCTTCAGATCTAATCAATTAAAATCTAAACTCCTGTTCAGAATCTATTATTATTACAATCTTTGTAATTAGTTTACATTTTCTTGTTTTCTAGAAACTTGTTTTAATTCAGAAATTATGTTTCTGCCATGCTGTTGAGGACTGCAAGATGTTGGAAGGAAAGAAAAATAACAACTCACCAACCACACTCGATTTAGGTGTACACCATTTAAGTGTTACAGTCTCTGTGGGCAAACCTTCCTTCGAAGGGATGATCAAGCCTTCTGCGTGGCCTCCAGCTGGAAAAGAGAGATGAAATATTTGCAAAAATTGATGTAAAAGAAACAAAAAAAATAATCATGGATTTACAAGGGAGAAATTAAAATTAAAGACACTAATTTTTTTTCAGTACCAAACCAACGTTGTTGAAACTCATTTGTGTGGTCGACTAATGGAAAGACACTATTTACATTATTCGGACTATTGTCCTCATCTTTGTCACCATGTTTATCACAACATTTCAGTCGTTGTATGCTCCGGCCTTCTTCAAGTGGCTGGAATGTCGAACTGAACCTTTTATTTCGCTCGCTGGGGTAGACTATTCTAGTTCCACATGCCATGTCTAATGGATGTCAGTTATCTCCTGCTTAATTCCCTCTCCAAGTTCTTCACCACCTTAACCAGGTATTGAACTCACACTCTTTGGGTCCTATCTCTGGATCTAATTAACGTCTTTATCAACTGTGCCATGTAAACTTAAGGAATCAGTACATATGCTAGGCCACAGACATCTCCTTAGCTGACCAAGCATAGAAATGAATACAATATGGAAACCAATAATAAGGAGTGCCAGAAAAAAGTGATAATAACAACAAAAACTGCAATATGAGCTCAGTTAAAAATGAATTGAAAACAGCAGAAATTGGAACATGAGCACTGGTAAAAAAAGGTTCCTGGTTACATTAGGTTTATAATACCCAGAAATTCATACACAGATGTCCTCAAGGACACATGGCACAGTGGATAAAGGTGTTAGTTAGATCCAGTGACAGGACCCAAAGAGTGTGAGTTCAATACCTGGTTAAGGCAGTGGAGAACTTTCAGAGGGAAATTAACAGGAGATAACTGACATTAGACATGGCACGTGGAACTAGAACAGTCTACCCTCATTTTGACATTCCAACCACCTGAAGAAGCCAGGTGTGTACAACAGCCGAAACGTTGTGATAAACAATAGTCTGAATAATGTATATAGTGTACATAACACCTCATCTCAGAAATATAGACAGATACTAATGGAAAGACATCCCTACAAGAAAACTAATTCTTCCTCAATACTGAAGTTGAATGTGGGGCTCATCACCTGAACCTGTGGAACAATTCAATTACAGAAATCTAAAGACAATAAGAATTTATATTAAACAAATTATCTCCCTTGGGTTTTATTGAAAAGATATTTCAGAATTGAGTCAAATGAGTCAAATAAAGTTTAAGAGTAGAAATTCTCATCTTTTTTTTTCTATTTTATTCAGAAGAATGAAATGACAAAGTAGATCTGAAGAACTGTTTGCAATCTTGAACTCCTCCCTGTTGTTGCTTTTATTTTTATTTTCAATGTTTCTGGAATGATATAATGGTCAGGACCTTTCCTAGAAAATTCTCATATTAAAATTGTGCCAAACATATAAATTTTTGTCTTTGAAAAATTTTCCTCATCATAAAAGTTCTTCTGCTTCTTCTTATTTTATAGACATGGGCGATCATGGCTCTCCACAACTTCTTATCTTTCATAGCTCAAAGAAATGCTTATACTCTGACTATCTATCCCAGTCTCAGTTCTGCCATCCATTTATACAAGTTTGTTAAGTGTGTGTTACTTGCTGTTTTGCTCTGAATCTCCTGCTTTCAATATGTCTTGTGAGTGTCAAATTTTCCAACCACTCTTTCCTTATTATGATTCCAGGAATTTCAAGTATCTTTTAAATGCATTGCTACTAGTTTTATTATAGAAATGCATTGGATATCAGGAAATATCATAATGTTAGTGATCAGTTGGTTGGTTGATTTTGTTTAGCGGCATATCAACCTCTATGGGTTATTTAAAGCCAAAATCTAAATATTTAAGACAATTTTATGGTTCAACTACAGATAAAATGTATTGTTGGTAATTTTGTACACTATTTACATTATTTGGACTATTGTCCTCATCTTTGTCGCCATATTTATTACAACGTTTCGGCCATTGTACACACCGGCCTTCTTCAAGTGGTTGGAATGTTCAACTGAACCCTTTATTTCACTCACTGGTGTAGACTGTTCTAGTTCCACGTGCCATGTCTAATAGATGTCAGTTATCTCCTTTTAATTCCCACTGCCTTAAGCAGGTATTGAACTCACATTCTTTGGGTCCTGTCACTGGATCTAACTAATGCCTTTAGCCACTGTGCCATGTGTCCTTGACGACATCTGTGTATGAATTTCTGGGTATTACAAACCATTTTTTACCAGTTTTGCTGTTATCAATACATGTTTTTACTAGAGATCATATTGCAATTTTTGTTGTTATTATTGCTTTTCTCTGGCACTCCTTATTACTGGTTCCCATATTGTATTCATTTCTATGCTTGGTCGGCTAAGGAGATTTTTGTGGCCTAGCATATGTACTGATTCCTTAAGTTTACATGGCACAGTCGATAAAGGTGTTAGTTAGATCCAGTGACAGGACCCAAAGAGTGTGCCATGTTTAATGAATGTCAGTTGTCAGTTACCTCCTGTTAATTCCCCTCTCCAAATTCTCCACTGCCTTAACCGGGTATTGAACTCACACTCTTTGGGTCCTGTCACTGGATCTAACTAACACCTTTATCCACTGTGCCATGTGTCCTTGGTAATTTTGCTATAAAATGTATTGTTGCTAATTTTTTTTATATAAAAATGTATTGCTAGTGTTTTTATTATAAAAATATATTTTTATACTTTCATAGTGTTTAGGGATTCACTATTAGCTGGGGACCTAACAGGTGCTACCACCCCTGTAACTTTAGCAATTAAGAAATGGTTCCACACTCCACAAACCCTCTAATGTCCTGATTGGAGGCCTTGCTGACAGATTAGTGATCAGTTATGCCAGCATTAAGAGATCAACATGAATGGAATAAGAGTCAAAATTAAAAATATCAGCTCACAATGTTTCAGCTAATAATAAGAAAAGCAAATTTTTAACACTTTTCTACATTGTGTGCAACGAAGAACAACAGGCTGTTGTTATAGCAATATTCCATCAAAGAGAAATATTTCATCAAAGAGAAAACCAGAAAGTAGAGTCGACTGTGGGAAAGAAAAGGAGTTAAAGTGATGAAATGTTTAAGCCAGCAGAACGATAGTAAAGCTGAAGAAGATAGAAGTGATTCTATTATATAAACGAGATCGAACATCAATAGAGAAACATGATCAGCAGAATGTGTCTATGAAATGCAATCAGATGATGAGAAGAAAGACAGAAAGGTTAGAGAAGTACAAACAGCAATGTGTCACTGACATTTATTACTTAAGAGAAATTCAGAGATTCAAAGTGATCAATTTTGAATAGCATTAGTTCTGCACTTGATATCTTCATCAAAATGTTTACAAATAAAAACAAAAAAAAAACATGTTTATTAAAAGAAATTCAGAGATTCAATTAAAAAAAGTGATCAAGAATTTATTTCAGCTATTGATCTCTTTTTCTTGTGGTTTCCTTTTTATCATTTCAACCTAAGCAAAGCAATAAAAGCTACTAAGATTCAAGGTGTTCCTGTGAATAAAAGAAACAGAAGGAGCAATAAAAGAACAGGATTTAAGAAGACAGTAGATAACAATTGACATTGCATTTAAATTGTTAACAATTGTAGTTGGCTGGAAAGCAGGAAGCCAGAAGAGAGTATGACAAGTGAGAAGTGCAAAAGAAGAAGCTCTTAACAAAGACATTATGGTTACAACTAGCAATTTTAACAGTGAAATTACAAGACCTAACTGCCAATCTAGCAATGTCTTTAAATTTGTGAAGTCAAGGTACTAAAGAGGAAAGCTCATAGGAACAATTATCACAAAGATGAATCAAATGGAAGCTAAATTATGGTGGATGGAAAGTGATTGAAGCTGAGATGCCAGGTTAGGACTGATAATGTTTCAAATTATTCTTTAGATTTTCTTTAGAATCTCTAGACATAACAGAAGCACCAGTCCAGATATCACAACAATATTTAATACATGGATGAATAGTAGACTTATAAATGTGTAAGATAGATTCTGGTAAGAAAAAATATCTAGCACAACACTGTGAACCAATTTTCCTAGCAATAAACTTAACAATTGATTCAATATAATCTTTCCACATCATGTAAGTCGATAATATGAGCTCAAGAAGGTGCCATGAGTTGCTCTTCTGAAGGTTAGCATCAGCCATACTGATGGAAGGCAGAAATGGTTATCTAACATGATTAATAGAGAACAGTTTTATTTTAGAAGCATGAAAGTTAACAAGCCACTTTTTACCCCAGTTAACAATAAATTGTAGATTGTTTTAAAAATCAGCTGCTAATTTGATTTTATCAAACCTATATGACTTACAATTAAGACAAAAGTAAACAGTTGTGTCATATCCATAAGATACAGAGTCAGGAACTGATGGGTTCAGGAAGGTCATTTATGAAAATAAGAAACAGAGTGGGTCCAAAAATAAAGCCCCAAGGGGTGCTCACATTAATGTAAGATGATCTAGAGGAGTGGCCATTCAAGACAATTTTCATTACATAGTTTGATAAAGACTGAATCAAGTCAAAAACATGACCAGAATCACCATAACTATTCAACATAGGAAGAAAAAGACAAACATCTAAAAAACCTTTGAAACATCTTCAAAAAATCTAAAACAACGCTCTCAGCTTTGCTATTCTTATCTAAATTTGGTTGAGTTTGTTTCATGGCATATCAACACCTCTATGGGTTATTTTTAATGCTAAAATCTAAATAATTTGAAAACAATTTTATGGCTTCAATTACAGATAAAATTTATTGTTGGTCATTTTACTCTAAATATGTAATGTTGGTCCTTTTTTATATAAAAATGTATTGTTGGTATTTTTATATTTTCATAGTGTTTTGTTTTTGCTTGGGGGGGTCACTATTTGCCCAAAGCTGGGACCCTAATAGGTACTACCACCCTGGGTCAGGGTGGAAATGGGAACAATAGCAATTAAGATGTGGTTCCACACTCCTCAAAACCTCCAATCTCCTGATCAGAAGTCTTGCTGCCGGATAT